CGCTTTATAAAGACCCAGGGGAACAGTCAAAGTTCAGTTAGAGCTTGCTTCAAGTAATGGCGTAATCAACGTCACCGATGGTCAGAAATGGAGGCATTGGGGGGCTCCACAAGGGGAAAAGTGGCAGGGACATCCGAAGACAGAATCAAAGAAAACCTTCATTGAAACTGACTTCTAATAGGCTAGCTCATAGCTGCATTGTTAATTTAATTTCTTTGTGCTCTGCACGGCACAGCTAGCGGGTTGGTAAAAGGAGCTCTTTGTGTTTTACGTGGGAGAGCATTGCAGGAGGGTTGTTTTTGGAGGCTGTCCAGCAGGAGAGGGGAAAAGTAAAGAAATCCTGAAAAGGAACGATGTAGCCATTCTTAAAGGTCAAACACTTGGCGCAGCCTCCGCTTCCTTCAGCCGTGCAAAATGCACCCAGACAGCAGTGCTGCCAGGGCTGGCAAGTCACTTTCATGGGCCACCAGACTGGCTTTTCACCAGAAGCATCAGCACATCCCGAGCCAACAGGCCGACTGAGAAGGGAGGAGTAGGGGAAGGAGAGCAGTTGCCTTGGTGCCTGGCAATTTAAAAGAGCTAGGGGCTCCTGACCACTGCCCCATTTCTACAGGAGCAGCAGCAGCTGGAGCCCTGAGCCCTTCATATTGTTGCCGGAGTGTGGCACGATGCGCTCCGGGAGGCTCTGAGTGCTGGCTAGGGGGCTGGTGCAGCATGCACTGGAAAGTGTTAGAGGCTGACTGTCTTAGCCCTGCCCCTTCCACCTGAGGCCCCTCCCTTTCCAGGAGCACAGAGGGCCCCCCTCCCTCACACACCTTGCCCACAGACCTGGCAAGTCTGTCATGTCCCCTATGGGGACATGGTTAGAAACAGATCAGAACTAAGATAATTCTGCCTGCCTGTGCCAGTCTTCGACGTGGGTGTTGATCAGGGTTTGGGTGTCATGCTTTGCATGGCAAAGGAGATGTTTCATGAAATGATAAGAGGTTATCAATAGAGTATGAACATTTAGAACAGACCAACAAGCACATACAGATCCAATATTCTGCTTTGGCTTCTGATAAGTCTTGAGGTTAGGTCAAGGTTCCAGCTCTCACCTTTCAGTGTCCATACTTGACTAATACACTCAGCAGAATGGCTGTTAAAATTAATTCTCATGTATGGGACAGTGGCGTGGTCGCTGTCTTCGCTGAAGTGTTATTTCAATGGCAACAATTTGTTATTTGTTCTCCTCTTTCTGAGGTGAATTTGTTGTTGCTTAATCTAATTGCTATAGATCCTAGAGTTCTTGTAGCCCTTCAAGTCCTACAGGTCTGAACCAGAATAAGGGGCTCCATTCTGGGTAGCACTCTGCCATGAGAAGAGAAGATGCCGTTTCCTTTTAATCAGCACTTCATGAGATAAGCCACTGCAGAGTGAGAAAACAAGCCATGTAAGAGGACATAGAATAAGAAAGGACTAGCCCATGACAAGCTGCCATATCAGACTGCAGCCCAGGCTAATGGTAGAAAAATCAGATTAGGGATTGGCCAGAGAGAAGCCATGCTAGATTTGGGATAGTCTATGTGTCTATTTTCTACCATCTCAGCAAGCAAGAGGTCGCCTGGATTTCTTGGGCCAACAAAGGCCTTAGCAAGATTGCAAAAAAATCACCACCACTTTCTAGCAGTGCTTTGTTTTCCATAAGTTCCATAAGAAGACTGAGGTGGGTTTTAAATATGAATTTTTGAGCACTGCATGATACACTGATATTTGTTTCTGGAAAACTTAAGGGAGACAAAACTTGTCCTGAAAAGAATTCCTGTCCTGGAAATCCACATGAAGCTCACAGATCCATCTCAGAATGTGATATGCTCACGTTACAAATGGAGGATAAACATTACCCTGAGAGACAAGCAGTCACACTGGCAGCTACTGTATTTTTGATAGTACTTTATTACATGGTAAGAGATGGAGGCTAAATCATAGCCCTTGCTGAGCCTCTGCCCTTCCCCTCCCTTTGCAAGATGCTGAAGTTGGTGGGAGTTGAGAGCTATAGGACCTGCAGATTTTGCTGGACCCTGAGCTGGGGAAGAGGGGAGCTCTAGGCTCCTAGAAGGAGTGGGGCCTCAAGTGGAATGGGCAGAGCTAAGGGCTAGCCTCTCCCAGCCAGCCCTTTAGCACTGCCTGGTGTGTGCTGCCCAGGGACGCCAGCAGTGAGTTAAAAATGCAGGGGCTTCAGCTGCTACAGTTGCTTGGGGAGCCCCAAGCCTTTTTAAATCATCAGGCCTGGGCAGCTTTCCCCCTTTGCGCCCTCTCCTTCCCCATCAGAGGGCCTGACTGCAGCTGAGCAATAAGTTTTGGTGAAACTTTTTTCTGTTAAAATGATGTACTGTCAAAACCAAAATATAGCACAAAAATTCACTGACTGCCACAAAAATCTTGTTAAAAACATTTCAGATCCATGATGGAATTTCTAGCCAAACGACGCACATTACTCCAGAAGAGCTGAGATTCAAGTTTCTACCTGATTTGGAGCAGGTACTTGAATGTGGGTCTCCTGCATCTCAGAGGGGATCCTTAATCACCTGGTTATTGGCTGTTCTTTAGTGAGTTGGCCTGTCATGCCTTTTTGTGACATTTCAGAGGTCTTGTTTTTGTTCTGCATCTGAGCAAATTTTGAATAGAGCTACCAAGCAGTTAAAACAAATAATAGAATACCATTTAGTTGAATATTTTGGATGTTTTTTACATTTTCAAATATGTTGCTTTCATTTACAACACAGAATGCTTGGTGTACAGTGCTCGTTTTCTATTATTAATTACAAATGTTCACTATTCAAAACAAAAAGAAATAGTATTTTTCCATTAACTTAATCCAGGTAGTGCAATCTCTATCATGAAAGCTGAAATTACAAATGGAGAATTATGTACAAAAAATAACTGCACTCAAAACCAAAAGAATGTAAAATGTCAGCACCTACTAGTCCAGTCAGTCCTACTGCTTGTTCAGTCAGTTGGACAAACACATTTATATTTGCAAGACATAATGCTGTCCGCTCCCTGTTTATAATGTCACTTGAAAGCGAGAGGAAATATTCATGTAGCATTAGTGTAGCTGGTGTTGCAAGATATTTACCTGCCAGATATGCTAAAGATTCATATGCCCCTTTAATGCTTCAACCACCATTTCAGAGGGCACGAGTCTATGCAGATGATGGGTTCTGCTCGATAACAATCCAAAGCAGTGCAGGACTGATGCATGTTAATTTTTCCATCTGAATCAGATGCCACCAGCAGAAGTTGATTTTCTTTATTGGTGGTTCAGGTTCTGTGGTTTCCACACTGGCGTGTTGGTTTTTAAAGATGTCTGAAAGCATGCTCCATATCTCATCCTTCTTGGATTTTAGACACCTCTTCAAATTCTTAAACTTCAGGTCAAGTGCTGTAGCTATTTTTAGAAATCTCACATTGGTACCTATTTTGTATTTTGTCAAATCTGCTGCAAAAGCATTCTTAAAATAAACAATATGTCTGGGTCATTGTTTGAGACTGCTATAAAATGAAATATATAGCAAAATGTGGGTAAAATAGAACAGGAGACAGACATTTCTCCCCCAAGGCGCTTAGTCACAAATGTAATTAACACATTTAACAAGCATCATCATCATGGCAGCATGTCCTTTGGAATGGCAGCCAAAGCATGGAAGGATATACGAATGTTTAGCATATGTCTCACATAAATACTTTGCAATGCCAGCAACAATGCCATGCAAATGCTTGTTCTTAATTTCAGATGACACTGTAAATAAGAGGCTGGTAGCATTATTTCCCATAAATGTAAGAAAATTTGTTTATCTTAGCAATTGGCATTATAAGAAGTAAGACAGAGTGGACTTGTAGGCTCTAAAGTTTTACATTGTAGCCATGTAACAAAAAAAATCTACATTTGTAAGTTTCACTACACAGTAAAAAGATTACTTGTATGAGGTGAACAGAAAAATACTATTCCTTTATCGTTTTTATAGCACAAATATTTAAAATAAAAATGATAATATAGTGACTCTGCACACTGTATTCTGTGTTGTACTTGAAAATGTAGAAAAACATCAAAATATATAATAAATGTCAATTGGTATTCTATTGTTTAACAGTGTGATTAAAATTGTGATTAATTTCAATTTTTTAAAAATCTTGATTAATTTTTTGAGTTAATTGCACGACTTAACTGTGATCAATCGACAGCCCTAAATTTTGAAATATCAACCTTTTTTTCCTAAACAGACTTGATTTCTGGCCAGACCCACTCAGGTCCCATCAGGATCCTAATCACCTTACAAGATCAAGCATGGCCAAAGCATGAAGGGGTACAATATGAATGTTTAGCATATGTTTCATTTAAATACCTGGCAATGCCAGGTCACAAGGAGCAAACTGAATGATATATTAAAACTACTTCTAAAACTTATTTTGCATCACACCTTCTCTTCTAGAGTGGACTCCCTGCTGTTCTATGAACTAAAGGAACTCTTCATTCTCGATGAAAAATTATAGTTTTGGGTCCTAGTGGACAAGGCAGATGGAATGCTGGCAGGAAAAGGGGGAAATATCCAGAGAAACAGACAAGAAATATCACCTGAGGCATCTCTGCCATCAGCTATCAAAGCAGTGTGGAATCTTGCAATCCTAAGGGACTCTTCACCTAGTCAAGGAACGCTAAGTAGTAGCAGTGTCTACAGCTTCTTGGAAGATCAAAAGAATATGCCTCCTCATTTGAGGTATGGACCTGACCACATTGATCGTAAGAACATAAGATGAGCCAAAGATATTAAATTAACTCATTCATTGTCCAATAATAGAGTTAAACAGTTCAATGTTTAATATAGCGAAACCTCAGCCTCCTTATTTTCAGCATGGCAAACACACCATTACATTTTTTCACCTCTTATTAACAATGCAGGAAAGAAGGAAAATTAATTAAGCATCAAAATCTAAGGCA